TTTTCTGCATAAAATAGGTGATCTCAAACTCTTTAACAACTTTAAAATATTCAAAAAATGCTATCCAGTACATAGGTGGAATTTAGCTGCAAATGTACGTAGCTACATTTCTTAAATGATAGCGGGGTTTGTTCCTTATTTTGTCAAAATTGGGTTTTGGTCCCTGAGACAATTTGTTGTTCATCTTCTATACTTTCACATTCCTTGCTTTCAGAGTAACCCACACAAACTTTTCCTACAGAGATATATTCATTTGCAAATCACCTCCATCTGAATAGTGTATAATTTAGTGAAGCTACCACTTGTGTAATCTACTATTGTCAAGAAGCAAAGACTTAAATTATCTAAAACAGTTGTATAAATATCCTCAAATTCCCCTATTGCTTTCCTTCATCTGGCTGTGCCCACCGAGTGTTCTTTAAATTACACAGAGTAAAACTGTGCCCTTTAGTTTCAAATATGTCAAAATGGAGAAACTTCACTAAAAGAACCCTAGAAACATTTCATCTAGTCCTCTCTGCTTATGGTTAGACATCCAAGCAATGAATTTCTTCATTTCTCTCGTCTTTAATAAATCTGATAGGCAATTCAATGGGAAGTGCTGATACATCAGTGAAAGTCAGAGGGGTTGAAAATGGTTAATGGTTTGACTCAATGATCTTAAGGGTCTTTTTCCAGAAAAAAAATGATTCTACAATTCTAAAAAAAAAAAAAAGGAGCAGTCTGACCCTTTTAAATGAAAGCAGAATTAGGTCCAGAAAAAGGAGCAAAGTACTGAGAAAACGGTAGACGATTTTACAGTGTGCTTAAAATCTCAGAAAAAAAAGTGTAAAGTACTCCCTCCATAAAGGAAGGGAGGATGTCTAAACACGCTCCAATAATTTTCACATAACAAAACCAAAAAAGGGAAGGCACACAACCATTATCTCCCAGGAATATCTCTCATACTGTTTCAGCCAGATAATATTAGGCTGTCAACATCTGACTGACCCGTGTTTCACAGCTCCTCAGAGGACAATGTCTCAGAGGACTTTGTGTACTTAATGGCAATCAAAATGGCAAAGACTGAACAATGCTACCAAAACACTGTTTGTTTTTTTTTTAAAGGGAACTCCTGAAATCTTACAGGTCTCTCAGAACATGAAACTAAAAACTTTTTGCAAGAATTCACAGTGTTCTTGATGAAGGCAATAAGAGTCCTGCAGAGATCTTACCAGATTAATATTGAATCAAGTAGAAAAGCAACCTACATTAGTGGTTTTGTCACCATTAGTCAGAAGGCCATTCATTGACAAGCCAGCACAGTGGAAGACAAGAGTAAATTAACATCTAATGTTACATATAGTGCTGAGCTAGGAAGAAAGCCTGCCTCCCTGAGGCAAGAAACATACTGCTAATGAAAGAGATTTCCTAGAATAAGTACCAATGTTTGTACTACAGCCAAAGGAAAGACGAAGAGGCCTAGGAAGCCACTGAGAATAGAGATCCTGTCTGCCATGACCAGGTGCTCCAGGTTTTATTTTAAGTGAATATAATTTAGGCAGAGGGTAGGCAAGATCACTTAAGATTAAACCACTAATTCTTATAATAAAACTTTAACCGATAAATTCTCATCTGGGGAAACTTTGGAGAACCTGGTCTCTTAGGACAGGTAAGGATCAGATGCAGAAGGGAAAGGGTAATCATGCTCTCTGTTTTACAACCCCCCAGTCTTTGGGAACTTCTTTTCCAGCAGGTTTGGGTTTTTTCCTCCCTTTTCTCTCTACAGCTCAGAATTCAGAGCTGTAATAGAAGAGAACAACCAGAAGCATATCATATTTTAATAGTCTGCTCTTTTATTTCTGATTAGTTGCATAAGGGAAATAAGGGACAGTCCTTCTCATCTTTTAAAATAGCAAAACATTACAGTTTTCCTCAAACAGCAAATGAGGATGTTTACATTTGTAGGTTCTGTCTGATTTCAGAGTTCTCTGCTGCACTGATCATGCCAGTTTATATGGATCAGTCAAATGTTGCTGTATTGTGTTTGTGTGCCAAGGTTTGAGGGGGGAAAAGGGGAGACTATGGGGGTGGCTTCTGTGAGAACCTCCTAGAAGCTTTCCTGGTGTCCAACAGAGCCAGTGTCAGATGGCTCCAAGATGCACCCACTGCTGGCCAAGGCCAAGCCCACCAGTGACAGTGGGAGCACCTCTGGGATAACATTAAGAAGAGGGGAAAAATCTGCACAACTGCAGGTGAAAAGAGTAGTGAGAAAATGTGAGAGCATCAACTCTGCAGCCACCAAGGTCAGTGCAGAAGGAGGCTAGCAGCTGCTCCAGGCATCAGAGCAGATATTCCCCTGCAGCCTGTGTTGCAGACCATGGTGAGGCAGGCTGTCCCCCTGCAGCCCATGGAGGTTCACAGTGGAGCAAATATCACAGTATCACAGTATGTTAGAGATTGGAAGGGACCTCAAAAGATCATCTAGTCCAATCCCCCTGCCGGAGCAGGAACACCTAGATAAGGTTACACAATATATCCACCTTGTCACTCTCTTCCTTCCCAGGGACAGGAGCGTAAGCAGGATGGGGAAACAAAAGGTTGGGCTCCTGTGGAGGGGCCCAAACCAGAACAAAGGAATGCCCAGAGGAGGCTGTGACCCCTTGTTCATTGTGCTGGAGCAAGCTCCTGGCAGGACCTGTGGACCCATGGAGAGAGGAGCCCACGCTGGAGCAGGTTTGCTGGAGGACTTGTGGCCCCAGGGGGGGTCCCATGCTGGAGCAGTGTGTTCCTGAAAGACTGCACCCCATGGAAGGGGCCCACACTGGAGCTGTTCATGCAGGAATGTAGCCAATTTGGAAGGACTCAATTTGGAGAAGTTTCTGGAGGTCTGTCTCCTGTGGGAGGGAACCCACTGGACTAGGGGAAGAGTGTGAGGAGTCTTCCCCCTGAGGTGGAAGGACTTGCAAAGACAATGTGCGATGAGCTGAACACAACTCCCATTCCCTGTTCCACTCTGCTGCCGGGGGAAAGGAGGTAGAGAAATCAGGAGTGAAGTTGAGCCTGGGAAGAAGAAGGGGTGGGGGGGGAATGTGTTTTTAAGATTTGGGTTTTATTTTTCATTATCCTACTCTGATCTGATTGGCAATAAATTAAATTCCTTTTCCCCAGGTTGAATCCATTTTGCCCATGACGCTAACTGATGAATTATCTCTCCCTGTCCTTATCTTGGCTCATGAGCTTTCTGTTACATTTTCTCTCTCTCCTGTCCAGCTGAGGAGGGGAGTGATAGAGTGGCTTTGGTGGGCACCTGGCTTTCAGCCAGGATCAGCCCATCACAGTTCATACCTTGTATTGATTTGGGATTATTGACAAAGTGATTTCTGAACTGTACAGATAAGAAACAGCACAAAAGATGTTGTTAATAGTTACTATTGATACAAAACCAGTTCATAGCAAGCCACTTGAAGGACAGGATCAGGACCCTAAAAGCTATTTTCAAGGTTCTGCAACCACTTAGAGCAAATATGTAGTCTTTGTTCTAAAGAATCAAAGTCTGAGATTAGTGCTAGCAGAGGCACAGAGGTGGGAGAACATCAGCAGACAAAATACTACCAGAAAGAATAATAGGTAGTAGTCATGGCTTAATCAACAGCCTGACTTCTGTCAAGTGTGTTTTGTAGGCATTACAGCAAAGGAGGATTTTTAGGTAAGATAATGAAGATATCTGTGCCTGTTAAGGAAGCTTCTCTCAAGCCTGGGAAAGCATGAAGATGTCTGATTGAAATCAAATAAGACTCTGGGAGGGGCCAGCATGAGAGTCTAGTGGAAGGTAGTAATTGACCTGAATATGTGATGAGAAGCAGATAAACTACCAAAGGCTTTGAAAGTCATGTAAAGAAAATGTGCCTATTAGTGAGGTATTAGTGGAGGAATGGGATAACGGAGGGATGCACAAAGAATGGATGAAGAGAGAAGGGGATCATAGCCACAGCAGCAGGCTCTGGAAATGTGTAGGCTAGGTATGGTGCAGATTCCAAGGCTAGGAAAAAGTAACTGAAACATGATAGAAACCAGGCTGGTAGTTTTAGCTACTAAAGCTCCCTAGCTCTACTCTTAAGCAGAGGCAGCTTGGGCAGTGAGGTAACTTCACCTGAGGTTTTTCCAGCATCTTACATGGGGCTTAGAGTTTTGGAATGTAGAAATCCCCCATGATTTAGTGTTCTTATTTAAACATAAGAGAGACTGTGAGTCTTTGAGAGATATGCAAGGAAGTCCTTCCTCCTCCCTCCCAAGGACAGGAGTGTGAGCAGGGTGGAGGAACAGAAGGTCAGGGTCCTGTGCAGAGGGGTGCCCAGATGCAAGGAGCAAGACATGGAGAAGGCAGCTTGGAAGTGAGGAGAGAAAGTTCATTACTAGGATGAAAGGGATATGGGGACAGATCTGGGCCAAGTCCAAAGGAATTTTGAGAATGATGAGAAAGTCAAGAAAACACAAAGAGAGCTGTAGGTTATCTTGTTTGTTTGTTTGTTTGTTTGTTTTAATAACAGATGCATATTTTTCTTGTACTTGGTAAGAAGAGAACTGCTTGGGTTCGGAAGCCTTGGCTTCCTCTCACAGAGGTGAACTGTACATTCAATGTGCGTTTGCAGACCACCTGGAACGTAGAGGCAGGATTATGAAGAGAGTAAGCATTGGGAAAAGGGCATAACAAGATTTTCCCAAGGAAAGAAAAGGATACCAATGAAATGCACAATTGAAATATAAAAGCTACAAGATGCAATTATCTGATTCTGCTTCCACACAGATGTGAACCAAGGCCAGGTTGGACAGGGCTTTGAGCGACATGTTCTAGTGGAAGGTATCACTACCCATGGCAGAGAGGTGGAACTAGGTGATTGTTAGGGTCCATTGCAACCCAAACCATTCTGTGATTCTATGATCTTGCAAATGAGGAAAAGACCACATCTCTTTTTTTTTTTTTTTTTTCTTTTAAACTCCATTCACATTTTAAAGGATACACCCAGCAGAACGGTATTTTAAGATCAGCTCAATATCTCTCTCTGGGCATCCTTTAAGACTGACTTCTTCCTGTAATGAAAAATAAAAAGTACTTTTCTAAATAGAAATTGCATCTATATATGTATCTTCAGTATAAACTCCCTTCTCCAATAAACACATGTACGCACTAGACGTGAAGTTGAGTTTTACAGGTTTCTATGAGACCTGTCAGTTAAAGAATCTTTAGATAATTAAAATATTGAGAAACAATAACAGGTCACATCCTTTGATAGCATTGGCTACAGCTTCCTTAAATCACTGGGTTGATGCTGATCTGGGCTTTTCTTGGTTACTTTTCTGCCATATTAGATACAGTTCTGCTTCCAGCCAGCAGGACGCACCAATGGCTCATATTTGGCGGAAGTGACATAATTATATTTATCTACCTCTTCTGAGCTTTTTGCTTCTCAGAGTCCTTGTTTTCTTCCTCAAAGAAAGAGCTACTCATAAAGCAGTGGTGATAGTGATGGCCTTTGCCAGCTCAATTATTCTTTAGGTAGAGTGGATTTCACACTTTGGAGCATCTAGACCAAAAATTTCATAACAGCCTTGCTCCAAAGACCAGGTTATATTGAATTTAATTGGTTTACAGAAGCTCTCACTTGTCATCAAAATGAGATCTTTGGCTGTGCACTACCTTGCAAAGTGCTGCTGAGAGTAAACTGCACATATCCTGAATCCCTCAAAGGGCCTCTGAACCTTGCAAATCTCTGGCATTTGGACAATGCCATAGCCACTCACTACTGCTTTAGTCTTGCTGCCTTACTCTGCTGATAAAAGTAGGCCTACAAGACTTCTGTGGCCATCAGTTTCTTCCTTTTCTGAATTTCAGCATGTTGCAAGCGTCTCTGTAAGCCTCTTGCTAAGTAGAATAGACAACTGAATTTTGCAATTAAATGTCGTACTGCGGAAGAAAACTGTCAACTAGTAAACACTGGCATCCTAAAAGGACTCAAATTAATGGATAATGCATTTTATTTAATTAGCAGCCCAAATCTGCATGCCAGCCAAAGCTCCTAGCTTCTGATTATCTCCGGGAACAAAGAACGACTAGAGCATACTTATAAATAGTGGCAGTGGGCTTAGCATATGTTACCTTCTTTCCTAGATAAATATTAATTAACCATGCTGAAGAACCAGTTCTTTACTAGGTAGAAATCTTTGTACCTCCCCTTAAATCAGTGTTGACATGCTGATTTCACAAGGAAAAGATTTAATTCTTAATTTTAACCAATTTTACTTCTTTACTCTGATTCACTGCATTGCACAATTTTCCATCAAGCTTTCTGCATTAGTAGTTTTCTGCTTTAAAATGTATGCAGACTTTTTTTAAACACAGAATTCAATGTTTTGTTTCTGAAAACTTTATATTTGGAACCCATTTGAAATCAGATCTGGATCCTGAAAGTAGACCATTGCAGACTTCATCTCCAAAAGAAGGAATATTTGAACATACTGAAGTGGGCCAATACTTTAAAGCTGGTATGGGTCCATATCTGAAAGTGGAGGATTTAGTCTGCCAGGTCTGAGCACAGAACATGACACTTTAATCTGAATCCCTGCAGAGTCTAAATGCAGCATCCTTTGCCTTCATGCTGAATGGGTGCTCTTCTCTTTCTTTTTTCTTTCTTATGTGGTAGGCAGGAGTTAAAGGTTATGTCATTGACTTTCGATCCTAGTAGACAGCTGTACCTTTATGTCATACTGTCATGGCTATTTCCTACAGTTCATTCCCCGGTGGATCTGCATCTATTTCATCACAGACAGATCCTGGAGGGTTAAAACCTCTTAAAAGTGTGTAACTGGAGACAACCTGAACTGCAGGGATGATTCTTCATGAAGACTCTGTGGCAGCAAAACATGCATTTGAACTGATTTTAGTGTGAATTACAGGCCCCAGCAGCCTCAGATGGAAAACACAATAACAAGGAAGCAATACAAGCAGTAATTTCTTCTGCTTTGTAATGAAGCAAGAGAATAATGGGCAGCATAGAAGGAGAGGAGATGGGGCAGGATTGAAGCAGTTTCCTGTGGAGCATCTGTAGAAACATCATTAAAGAGCAATCCCTTGTAGATGAATTAGGAACAGCCACCAACCTCAACTGCAGCCTCCATGAACTGAAATGTGTCAGGATGGGTGCAAAATGGTAGAGACAGTGTAAGGGAGGACTGGAGTTTCTTTTTGCTTGACCTCAATTGCCTACTTAAAGTAATTGAACACTCTTTGGAGGGTATCTGAGTGCATTTTTCAGCAACTGTACCTGACCAGTATGAAGAATAAGGAAATAAATTCATCTGGCTTTATTCCCTTGGGTCAGAAAAACTCAGCCTATACATGTGCCTACTGAGCCCATGTGCTTGTTTCTTTTTCTGGGTCCTTAGCGTCAAAATCAAAACCAGGCCCAGCTGTTCCTTATAATTAAATTTCAGTAACTCAAGCTGGGTGTTTTTATTTTGACTAGTGACTTAAAAGTGTTGGCATTTAAATGGCCTTAGCTATATTGCAAAGTTAACATTGAGAAACTTCACACATACATTAGTGTTATTTGTCTGTTGGCAAATTCAACAAAATACCACTGCATTGATTTACATAGTGAAGGTTATCTTTGCTAACAGAAGGACTCAGAATTTCATTATTTAAAATATGAGGATGAATCTCATCACATTGCAGGAGGCTACAGATGGCATTCCATACAACTTGCCACCTGAGTCAAGGGTAGAGGTGATGTTTATATTCCGTGCTGAGCCCTGTGTTCAAATATACCTAGAAGGTCCAAAAGCCAAAACCCAGACAACATTATCTGTGGCCAGGACAGATCTGACTATAGGATGAGGACTTTTCCTTTCTGGTACTGAGGTTTGTTTCTATGTGTCTGTCTTCTCTCTCTGGTTTATTTATAAGTCATTGATGACATTTATGCCATACATGGGCACTTTGTGATGCAATAAATCAGTAACAGGCTCAGTTTTTATTGCAGTTTCTATATTTGTATTTTAATACATCAAAATATGGATTTAAGAAGTATTAACAGTCTTATGTCAGCAGAAAGAAATTAATTTTATGCCTGCCTCTGCACAGAAGCCAGAAGCTTTAGGAAATAGGATCTCTTCCCTTAAGCATTTTTTCAGATCCAGTTAGGAGAAGGGAAGGTACACAATAAAATGTAAGCTTCAGGGTGACAGCACAACAATGAGATATGATTATTCATGTGATAATATATATGATTCAGAAAATGTTTTTGAGTGGTACTCCAATATGCCAGCACTTATTGATGGTCTAGGCAGAACCTGGTGCCTGTTTTCACCAAGCCTTACCTCTTGGGAGCCCAGGTGTGGCACAGGGCTATGTAGTGAAGTCAATCACAGTTAGACCTGCAATGGGTTGAATGCTTTCCTGACCATTGGCAGCAGGACTACATAACTGAATAAGAAACAAGTGAGCACAACAGAAGAAAACAAACATGGGAAGAGAAAAGCATCTTCTTGCCAAGTCAAAGAGGGAAGCAATGAATGGTGATTACTGATGAATAATAACCCAGAATTAATGGAGAAGGGCAACAGCAAAAGCTGTGCACAGAACACAAACATTTTATAATGAGGGTAAACAGTGACATTAGCAGGGTGGCCAGAACACATTGCCCATTCACATAGTATGTGTCTGCATTACATGACATGACTAATGGCAGTGGCTAGAGCTAACACATTACCCTTGGAGATACTATAATATCAGAAGAGCCTTTCCACTAGAGGAAAGCTGCCTCAATACTGAATGAAGAACTAGGTTTTCCTTTTGTTATTATTGGTGTTTTAAATTTAAATCGGTTTCTGATATGTAGCCCTATTTGGGAAGAATGTTGAGCTATGGATGCTCGAGGGCAGCTGCCAACTTAAGCACAACTAAATTAAGCCAGAAATGTCAAGCAGAAGTGGAAGCAATATCACACTGTGTTAAAAAGCAGGATTATAAAATCTCTGCCCATCAAAGAGACCAGAAGACTGTAGATAGCTCTGTATTATTATTTTTAACGCAATAGAGCCTAGAGACTCCAACCAATTACCAGGCTCCACTGAGCACCAGGAGGCACTAACAAAATAAAATCATGGAAACAGACCAAACCCTATCCCAAGCTCTTCTGGGAAAACAGAAAGGCTTTCTGACATTTTATCTTCCTATCAGTTTGGTGAACGCAGGCAAACCTTCACTGCCACACTTTGATTAATCTAAGGCAACCCTCTCCCTACCTCAGTTCTTGAGAGAGCCTAATTAGGGAACTGATCTATGACTGATTTTACAAAATCTCAAGCACCATCACTGCTTTTTTATCTCAGAGGACCTGTGGGTGCTTAGTGCATCCCAAGATCAGGGCACCTTGCCCAGTACTGAAAGAGGGAGCAAAAGGGTTGTCCCTGCAGGGCTCTGGCTTTCCCACACTCTTGTGCAGCCCTGGCTCTCCCGCAGTTCAATGATTCTCTTTCTAGAGTTTTAAGTCTCACCCAGTGGGGTGACCTCTGGGCAACCATGGACTGTCTCCAGCCTCCTTGTGATGTTCTTCCTTGATTTCCATCCTTTCAGGTGTGCCAGTTGCTTTTGCTCAAGGATGACTAACAGGGCACTGAGGTTTCTCACCCTGCCATCAGCCCAGTGTCCCAGGGAGATCCACACAGTGTTTATCCCTGTCTGGTGCTGAGCATAGCCCAGGAAGAATGAGGGCACTTTGCCTTCCTACCACAGAGGAAAACAGCCGGGAGGAGATATTCAAGAGGGGAGCGCTGAGAGTTCGCAGTTTGTTTAGGTAGCACATGCGCAGGTGTGCACAAACATGCCTGCAGACAGACATGCCCTAGCTCCTCTCTACTGGGTATGTCGTGGCATCTTCGGGAAGATTTGCTCCATGGCTGGAGACCAGACATTTCACTGAGCTTGGAATTACCCTGACCCAGCAAAAAAGCAAGCTCGCACTTCCCTTTGTGTGTAAAACTTCCCTGCGGCTGCGGAGAACAAACGCCAGCAGGAGCTGCGAGACACGAACAAATGTGTGCTCCGGGTACACCTCCTGCCCCCGCCTCCGGAGCAGGGAAGGATCCTGCGGGGCACGTTAGGGCTGTTCGGTCACGGATGTGCATTTCCAAGCACAACAGGGAAAAAAAAATAGAAAGAAAAGGTGAATAAAAGGTAACAAAGTCTGAGCCCCGGAGGAGGTGGTGAATAAAAGGTAAAAAAGTCGGAACGCCGGAGGAGCTGGATTGCTAACCGTTTAAGTGTAAAGTAGGCGATGTGAGCCGGTGGGACGTGCGGCACCCGCAGGAGCGCGACCTGCCACACCGCACAACCCCCTGCCCGCCGGGCTGGGCGGGCGAACCTAGATGTCTGCCCGTTCCGGCTGTGCCTCTGTCCTTGCACCGCACCATGCTGCTTGCCCCTGCTCTTCCCCCTAGCGCACAGCTCCGGCACGGAGCGGCATCTGCGAGGCCGCCTTGGGACGGGGCGGCGGAGGACAGCCACCCCTGCGCGGCCAGAGGGCTCCGTGGGGAGCCCATGACCCGGCCCCGCATCGAGGCGCGGCGGACACGGTGCAGCAAGGGATGGGGCCAGGCGAAGGACCAGTGCGACCCACATCCCCCAGCGCCGTCGCACCTCATGTCGGATCGGGAGGACTGGGGAGGAGAGGGTCTGCTCCCCCTCCGCGCTGTAGTGGGACTGGGGACAAACGCGGGCTCCTCCCGACGCCTGCAGGGAGAAGGGCGGAGGGATGGCGGTGGGGCGGTGCGCGGGGCGGGGGCGGGCCGGACCCCCCGTCGGGCAGCGGGTGGGTGCGGGAGGGAGGAAGGAAGGAGGGCCGAAGCAGAGGGCGGCTCCTCCTCCGCGGGCAGGCGGGCAGCCCGCCCGGGAGCGGCACCGGTTGCTCGGTGCCGGCGGGACTGCGCCGCCCGCTATATAAGGGGCGGCGGCTGCTCACCTCTCCCTCACACCGGCCTCTGCCCGCGGGTGTCGGTAGTAGGCTGAGGAAGGCCCCCGACAGCATGGCTCGCGGCGGGCCGCCATGGGAGGTGGTCTCCCCTCCTGCCTCCTGCGGACCCTCCTCTTCCTTCTCCTCCCCCTGCTCCTCCCGCACCCGCGGCGGCGGCTGCAAACTTGCTGCAGCGGGCTGTGTGTGAAGGCAGAGCCCGGCGGGGCGGCTCCGCTGCCCTTGCAGCCGTCGCGCCCGCAGCCCGAGGGGCGAGGCCGCCGCCCGCGAACATGCAGCGCCGCCGCTGCGCCCGTCGAGACGCGGTGCGGAGCTGCGGGCGGCGGGGCTACACCTAAGGGCGACCGGGGCGAGAGCCCCATGCTCAGGGCTCGCCGCTGTCCGCAGGGAGGCGGCGGGGCAATGCGCTGGCGGGGCGAGCGGGCACGTCTGTCCCCCGATCTGCTCTGCTTCCTCGCCGGCGGGGAGTGAGACTCCGCGGAGCCCCGCTCGGTGCTCCCGGAAGGGCGGGCGGGCGGGCGAGGGGTGGTGCTGGCGCGGGGATGCTGCAGCCCTCCCCCGGTGCCGACGGGGTCCTACCGGGGTAGCGGCCCCGTGTGCCGCGCCGAGCCCCGCCGTCTGCGGGGCGGGGGGCGGCAGCGGAGGGATGGAGCCGCCAGGTCCCTGCCGGGCGCAGCTGATCCCCGCCAACGATTCTTACCGAAACTGCAGCGCCGAAGAAGGGATCTACCAAGATTCCACCCCTCTCTCCTGGAAGATCGTGCTCGCCGTCGTCCTGGCTCTTGTCACCCTGGCCACAGTGCTCTCCAACGCCTTTGTCATCGCCACGGTCTACCAGACGAGGAAACTTCACACGCCGGCCAACTATCTCATCGCCTCGCTGGCTGTCACCGACCTTCTCGTCTCCATCCTCGTCATGCCCATCAGCACCATGTACACTGTGACCGGCAAGTGGACGCTGGGCCAGGTAGTCTGCGATATCTGGTTGTCCTCGGACATCACCTGTTGCACGGCGTCCATCCTGCACCTCTGTGTCATCGCCCTGGACCGCTACTGGGCGATCACCGACGCCGTCGAGTACTCCACAAAACGGACTCCCAAGCGGGCAGCGGGCATGATCGCTCTGGTGTGGGTTTTCTCCATCTGCATTTCCATGCCCCCTTTGTTTTGGCGGCAGGCGAAGGCTGAAGAAGTCTCCCACTGTGTGGTGAACACCGACCACGTCCTCTACACCGTGTACTCTACGGTGGGAGCCTTCTACTTCCCCACCCTGCTGCTGATAGCCCTCTACGGGAGGATCTACGTGGAAGCCAGGTCGCGCATTTTGAAGCAGACGCCAAAGAAAGCAGGTAAAAGACTAACGCGGGCTCAGTTAATCACAGACTCCCCGGGGTCGTCCTCCTCCGTCACGTCCATAAACTCCAAGACCCCCGAGGGATTCAGCGAAACGGGCTCTCCCGTGTACATGAACCAGGTGAAGGTGAAGGTCTCGGATGCCCTCCTGGAGAAAAAGAAGCTCACGGCCGCTAGAGAGCGGAAAGCTACAAAGACTTTAGGAATTATTTTAGGAGCCTTCATCGTCTGTTGGCTGCCCTTTTTCATCATCAGCCTGGTGTTGCCTATTTGCAAGGACGCTTGCTGGTTCCACATGGCCATCTTTGATTTTTTCACATGGCTTGGATATCTCAACTCCCTCATCAACCCCGTCATCTATACTATGTCGAACGAAGACTTCAAACAAGCTTTCCACAAACTCATACGTTTCCGATGCACAGGCTGAACGTTTTGAATGCGATGTGTCCTCCGGGTCTGCCCCGACGCACGCCGGTGCCCGGCGCCACAGGTGGGTGCGCTCCGGGAGAGGACTGGGGGGCGTGTGGAGGTGATCGGGAATGGGGCGGGAAGGTTTCGGGAACGGGAAGAAGGGGGTACGACCTCACAAATAAATAGCTAGTTTCAGCCCCTTTGCAAGTGGCGACGAGCAGCGGCGATGCCGCACGCTCCTGACATTTCACAGCGTGTGCTGGGTTGTTCCCCCCCCAGCTCGCAGGGAGTGACTCACGGCAATCTGCTTTTTATTCCACCTATTAAACCAGTCTGCCGCCATTTCGTATGATAATGTCCGTGTTTAGACCAGTTAGTGCTAAATTGCACTTGCTTTCCAAGCCGGTTGCTGACTGGGGCAGGGCATCCCCCCCGTGCCGTCGTCGCCCCCGCCCAGTGCCGCCTCCGGTCCCACGGCGGTAGCTGGAGGCATCCCGAGGCAGCCGAGATGCAACCCCCTCTGCAGGGAGTCGGGTGCAGTCCCGGTGCCAGCATCGGCTTGTTTTATTGTTTTGGGGTGGGTTTGTTTTTTTGAAAGGAAGGTAGGACAGGCCGCAGATTAAGGCTGCTGGTAAAGTTCAGCCTACTTTCTGTCCTTACGGTTCCGACTGCTCCTGCTGAGAGCGGAGCCGGCTGGGAGCAGGCATCCTGAGAGGAAAGCTGCTTTTTAGCCACCATGAAAGACTGGACACCTTTGTGTTTCTCTTCACACACGGGGAAGCTGTGCCTTTTTGCGCGGCTGACAAAAGCGTCTGCCAGCTAATAGCTAAGCTCAGCTCCATGTTCTGCACACTTGCCTTTATTGTGATACTTTAATAATTCTGACAATCTTTTGCTTTTTGTCTGCAGAATCAAGTTGCTATTGTAAAGACCCACTGCTTGAAACTTCCCCAAGCCCAGTTGCCAGACTCATGATGCTGCAAAACCGTCAATACATACTGCCACCAAACTGCTCAGCTCTGCATTTCAGTGTAATGACTCTGGCAGAGATGCTGTTCCAATAGTCACGCAGATCAGTTGCAAAAAAAGAGGGCAGCCTCGTATCAAGGTCTATAATTCATCTGGACTGAAGAAAAAGTTTGAGAGTAAACTCCATTTATTTTGCAGGCTTAACTTCTTAATTTGTTCTCTGGCAGGTTGTAGGGGTGTGCACAAGAGCACAGTTGTCTCTGTCTGTGTTGGTAGCATAGTTGTACTTCTGCACACCTGTAATTTCTTTCTTTCAGTGGAAAGAGTTGCTCCCTTCACATATGAGGCCAAGAGGAGGAAAAAAAAAAAAAAGGCAGTGTTTAAAATAGGAGTATCACAGTACATTCTGTAAATGACTCCTCCAGCTGAACATGTGTGAGAAGTGACAGTGTGCAAAAGTTATGTTTGTATTTCAACACAATAGCAAATGCTGTAGAAACCAGAGTTGTAGACCTGTTCAACTGCACTGCATATCTATAGTCTGTCTTCATAGTTGCATTTACAAAGTAAATACTTCCTGCTTTTACTCCATAACTCAAGAGCAGAAATCAGGAAGTCCAATGACCTTTTCCATAAGCCAGCTGGGAATAGAAGTAGCAGTTTGATGTTGTAACCATGTTTTCCATTTTGTGTCAGTTGCACACCCTTACTGCATGAACCACTGCGAAATTTAGAATTCTCTAAGTAATTACATTATTTAGTGTATTTTGTAAAGAAGTGAAGCAGTTTGTTCTCTCAGAAGAGCTGTGTCACCTGCAAAATAAATACCCATGAATCATGAGTAAACTGATGTTAGTGAAATTACTCTCCTCCCTACTTCCCTCCTATAGTTCTTTTCTTTTTTTTTTTTTTTCCTTCCTTTTTCCCCCCCCTCTGATTTGACCTTAAGACAGGTCTATGCATATTCAGCAGTCAAAAGTTAGTTTCAGGATATGGTCCACCTGCTGTGATAGAACTGCATTGATTGTTCCTTCTATGTGTAAATGAAAATGAGTATAAACAATAAAATGCTTTACTGT